AAAAAAACTACAATACGTCGAGTAAAACTACCACGAAAATTGAGTAGGTGAAATCGTAAATACTAGTATCGGATGGTAAGACAAACTCGTTTGCGTCGCGTGAGCTCAGGCGTAGGCGCATCGGTGTCAATCAGCAATCGTGAGATGACGAATGTACCTCAATTTCCGTTTCACAAATATCTATATCAATCAGGTATCAATAAACAAACTCTTAATCAATAAACGATAAACAACCACTATATCAAACAGGTATCAATAAACATAAGGGCAAACAATAATTTAAATAACTCAGTATAGCACAAATATTCAAATAAATCAATTATAACTTGCGTGCTCCTTTTGGGCCACCCGGTATATGGTGTTAGGCTACCCCGTAGTTCGACGGAAGTGGATCACCCTGTAGTACTGCTGAGATGGATCACCCTGTAGCACCGGTGGATCACCCTGTAGCACCGGTGGATCACCCTGTAGTACGGCGGAGATGGACCACCCTGTAGCACCACCAAGATAGATCACCCTGTAGGGCACGACAAGTTGGACCAGTAATGGATCACCAAATAAGATCCAGAAAGATAAAAAAAAAACTTGAAGAAGAAAAAAAAGGAAAACAGGAAAAAAGCAGGATGAAAAAAACCCCTGGCCAAGGGGTTTTCTATACGTTTCTTCGTGTGCGGTGCTCTGCACGGAAGTCCTACTGGGACTTGATTGTAATAAACTCACTTCAGGTTCATTTATAAGGAACGGAATGAAACGATTTCGTAGAAAAACTTCCTCTATTCAGAATAACTCAAATTGATCTACCTTGTTTCAATTACATGTTTTAATAACATAAGATCGGCATACATCGAAAAGAGCTGTCCTGGCACGTATTAGGTGTTCTAATTAGAATATTGTTTATTTCTCAATTTGTTATTGTTCCACATTATTTGCTATACCAGTACATGATGAGTGACTGAGGGCCTTCTGTTTCTTATGAATCTAATTTCGGAAATCCTTCCACCTGGCACGAGTTCGGTAACCACCACAAATCCTCAAAAGAGCTTAAGTTTCAGACTGCAAATATCCACACCAAAATGACCAATCAGTCTTCCACTATACAATCCTGACTTGTAGAAATAATCCCCGTGAAGGATGGCACAAATACAACCAAATATATCCTACAATCAGTCTGATGGTACGCTTTGAACTCCGAACCAAGCTCATCGAAGGCCAACTTCCGAATACTAAGGAGACTGCCACATCTGACAGCTAACCAGTTGTTGCCACAGTGCATCCAATCTACACTACAAGCACCAAGGGGGCGCTGTGCACAACATCATAAATCTAACAATTCCTCCACAGCCACTTGATACATCATCAACAAGTCCATGACCCATCAAAACTCCTTCTCAAAGCAATGCAACCCTAAAACAACCCTTGACAACTTGAGTAACCGATCAATCCCTCACCCGTGAACAACTGTAGAACTAGTTCGGTGTAAGTCGACGGAACGACACTACGAAAGTTCGGCAGATGTCAACCAACAGCTGTCTCTTAACCTTGTTTACGAATATTTACAAAATATATTGTTCCAACCTATTTTCAACTATTTACCAATCCTTATTCATGCGATGGAATAGAAACATATAAGGTAAGTCGCCACAACCTTCCCTTTCAGTACGAATATTTGAACATTCATCTTATGCAGAATATTTACCGAAAATATCAAACAGTATTCAGAAACCAGAGCTAACTAATATTGTTTTTCAGGCGATATGGCTCTAATATGTCAGTAAACCTTCTGGAAGTGATGAATAACAATCTATGCAAGAAATATTCTCGGAAAGGTATAGGGAATAAGGCAGACAACGGCTAAAAAAAATGATAGGTGAAGAAAACTGAGAAACAAACAATAACAACTATTTCAACCTAGCGAGGAATTTCGGATCTTCAACGTCGATTGGCAATAGGAGAATGCGTAAGTACTGGTCAAAGCAGTTAGTCAGGGAGCATACATTTATTCTTGTACATTTCAGATATGGTTTTCTATGGAATGGAAGATTCCCATTACTATGATGTTAAATGAATAAAATCTACTTGTAACTTGATTACATTGTTAACATCCTTTGAATAAAAATCTTAAAAGGTAACGTAGTGTTTTGAAAGGTCACATAGGAGCAGTATTGATCTAGTGCTAAATTGAAACGTAACAAGGCGAATATTACACTCCCCAAAGAAATGTCTGAAACTCAAATTTTATTAAGAGCTGCCGCCATTATACGAAATGCAATGGATTCGTTTGAACCAGAGTGGATTTCCAACACCAGATAATATCAATAGGAATGAGTTTCAGAATGAGGTTTCAAATATTTTACATCTATTCGTGTCATGGCTTATAGATGCAAAGTTATTTGAAGAGGTAAATATTGTAGTTGAAGATCTTTCGATTCAAGTATTCTGATGTTTATGTTTTTACAGGCTGAATATGGGAAAACAAGTGAATTGGCAGCGATTCCAAGCAATACTATATTGGGGCTTTTCGACAAGTGTCATAGAAGAAATTCGTTTCATGTCGGTCTGGATTTGCATCAGTATCACCACATTCCAAGCAAACACATTTTAGATACGCTTTCCTCACTTGGACTTACTTGTTCATATAACGAAGTCCGTCAAGTAACAACTTCGTTAGCAAAACAAGAAATTGATGACAGGGGAGATGTATATGTACCCAAATTCCTAGGACAAGTTTCGAATGAGAAGAATAATTACATTCGAGCAAGTATTGATAATTTCGACTTGAACGAGGAAACTTTCGATGGAAAACGTACAACACATGCAATGGCTATGGTTGTTTTTCAAGAAAAACAGTTTTCACAACCAATAAGAGAAAGAATCAAAGAAGGCTCATCAGCTCTAAGCAAAGAAGAAACTGATATAAGTTTACAAAAAATTGAAAAATATGTTAAGCCTAAAACTCGTCCTGTACCTTCTGAATTCGAATTTCCAACAATAATTCGGAAAAATTCAATTCATTCCACAAAGATTAATATGTCTTGGCGATTGTTGAAATTTCTCCAGAATGAGTATTCCTTCATGGGGTGGAGCGATTTTCAAAATATTTTGTCTCATAATAATATTCCACTTTCAACAATTTCATACCTCCCATTTTTAAATGCTCCTCCTATAGAATTCGATACAATTTTCACTGCAATGCTAAGGCTAGTACAGTTAGTGGAAAAATTAAATCAGGATCATATCGTGCATGATAACTGCTGATTTATCAATTTATTTTAAGGCTCGTGAGATACTGTGGAACAATCCTCCAGAATTGTCTGGTAAAGTAACCTTACAACTTGGTGGAATGCACCTAACAATGGCATTTATTGCAAGTATAGGCTACATTTTTGCCGATGGTGGACTAAATTCTATTCTTGTCGAAACAGATATTTATGCAGAGAATTCTTGTAGTCTAATGCCATGCAATGAGATGATAATAATATATCAATTGGTCATTTGAATTACAGGTGTACGTATCAACTTAGAATATGGTACAGCAGCAACACTGAAACACCATTCATGGATATTGATGGTTCAGGATGGACTTTAACTGATGACGCTTGGATCCCAATATTTTCAAGCGATAAACCAATTCCTGATTTTGTGAGACTGAGTATTCACTCAGTCACTGAGTATTTATTGTTCAGATAAAAATTGTGATACCCGAAAATGTGATTGTTTCAAAGAAGGCCTTAAATGTTGTGACGAGTGTAAATGTCGTTTTTGTAGCAATATCATCAAAGATTTTGAGGAGGATAGTGGAGATGATAATGAATTCGAACACTTTTGATGTAGATTACCAATACTTATATTTGTTAACAGAGAAATAAACACTGTTCCGTACATATATATTATGTTTTGGTCCCAATCAAAATTGTTCAATAACCAAACTAAAAGATGGTACTCAGTTTGAAACGATGATTGATTAAGAATTACCACTAGCATTGTACAATAACTTGAAACGAAAACAATGGAGTCCTACTTCTTATCACAGGCAGGCAGGAATTTATACAGTCACCGTAAGGTCTTTATTTGGATCTTCTGATCGCTAACTTATTTCAATGTTCAGTGAATAACCGATGAATGTTGGAACACAATCCAAGCAGCGCAAAGTTTGGCATCACAGATCAGCTGAATGAGAGGATTTTCAAGACCATTTCAGGAATTTCCTGGCTTGATGTTTGTTTCAGCTCTGAAGATCCATGAAATTGAGCTTCTTAAGTTACGGAAGTTATTTCATCATCCATGGATGCATATATCCCTTTTTCAATGACATGAAGTTCTAACGGCAAACCTCTAAAAATCTTGTTTAACGACAGTGGCGCAAAAATCCCAGTGCCGAAAACCGAACTAGGTTTGTTGATGCTCGCAACAGCTGCGAGCTTAGGATGAATGGAAGTAAAGAACTTCACAATCAGAATTGGGGATGAACTGCTTGCCAACCCCAACAAGTCTAGATCCTTCTGGTCGGTAGCTGAAGCTGTTAATCAGAACTTTACAAAATCCACAATTCTATCACTAATACAAGCGGATAGTTGAATTGCAACAACAGCCATAGAAAAAGCGAATCTACTAGCTGAACAATTTCCGTCCAACTCCACAGTCGATTTTCTAGAAAAGGCACCACCCATTATTTCCACACTAGAATCTGCATTGCCGGAAATTACTTTTCGACGAATTTTGAAACAGCTCAACATCAACAAGGCGTCTGGTCCTGATGGAGTGCCCTTCATGACGGCAAAGAACTTCACAATCAGAGAATTGGAGATGAATTGCCAATCCCAACGGATCAAGATCATTCTGGTCGGTAGCTGAAGCTGTCAATCAGAACTTTACAAAATCCACAATTCCACCACTAACACAAGCGGATGGTTCAGTTGCAATAACAGTCATAGGAAAAGCAAATCTATCAGGTGAGTAATTTGCGTCCCACTCCACAGCTGATTTTCTGGGAAAGGCACCACCCACTATTCCCACACCAGAATACACAATGACTTATTGGAAAAAACCAAGGATCCAATATATTGCTTTGTTGACGACAGCACACTTGTCTCGTCATTTCATTCGGATTCTAGGACATCAGCTACGCAGGCACATCTTCACCGGCAGCAGGAGGTTGAATATCTCAATGAGGATCTAGAAGAATAGCACTCTCAGGGCCGCGTTATGTCGAGGGATTTAGGTTGAGATCGCATATGATGGACATGCTGGAAGCATGTGTTTGTAACTTCTATACCTATCACGGGACTGCGGTAAACTGAGGTCTTATAGACACCATCCTGGCAGATAGACACCATCCTGGCAGTGTCCGACTTAAGATCACTCGTCCTTTCGATTCGGAAAGCGATTGAAGGGCTGTATACACGGCGGTGTCAGCTGGTTTTGTAAGAACATTGGAAACATCTGCATCCAGTCATGCCAGTTGTTGTGTCTTTATGATAGTAATTTGATGAAGCGCTCCACGTTATCGGTTATCGGTTAAAATATTCTCGGACATTCAAGCGGCGATGGAAATTCTTGGCTCCTAGCAAGCAACGTCTAAATTGGTAGCAAATTGCCAGAACCGACTCTTCTCGATAGGTCTGGATTCCTTACCACACTGGCATGGAAGGCAATGAGGCTGCTGACTCTCTTGCAAAGGAAGGTGTTCCAAGCAGCTTCATCTGACCAGAACTGGTCATTGGTATCACTTTATGCTTTGACAAACGAAAACTGAACACCTGGTTGGCAAGAAAATTTATGGACATCTGGCAGAATCTTCCAGGATAGGCTCACTCTAAGGCATTTATTCACTTTTCGAAGCTTGATACCAAACAGTTGTTGGACTACAGTAAGGATGAACTAAGTTGTCTAACAGGCCTTCTTACAGATTACTGTCATTCGAATCATCATATGCAGAGACTCGGACTGTCGGAAGACAGTGTGTGTCGCCTCTGTTTGGAAAATGTTGAAACAGCAGAGCACATACTTTGTGCCAGCCCCGCTGGGGATCTAATCAGGTTTTAGAGTTCGGCAGAGCCGTACTTTCAACATCCGACCTGAAATACCACTCACCATACAAACTAATCCGCTTTGTTAAGAAACTGGGTTCATTTGGTGGAGTGTGAATAGGTGTGAGCCACAATAAATAAACCCTTGCGGGTTGCATTGGAGGGTCGAATAGACCCTCCAATGGACCCAACCTAACCTAATCCAGTGAGCTGGAATGGGGCCTTTCATTTGATTATTCATATCCAAGTATAGGGTATATTAGGTGGTTGGATCCCCGGCCGGTATCGGAGGGAGAAATAAGTTTTCTATCCCTAATGCGTCTATGCTGTCAGTCCAGTTTTGTACCAGGGTAAGTGTTGGCGCAAATCAACAAAGGCCCGAAATATAGGATGTTACTTTATGTTTTCGTTTCCGCTGGCCAGGCCGTATTCTCCGAAGCCCCGATACATTCGGAGGGCGTGCCAGCATCATCAACCAACGGGCACTGTTCACATCGTGGAGTAAGTGATCGTTGGATCCGAAAATCATGTGCTCTGAGCAAGTGCAGTGAGCCAAGAATGACAGTCTTCTGCATCTGTCCGGCTGAAATTTCTGCCCTCATGCGGCAAGCAGGTATGATTCTGAGATTTGAGAGTAGAAAGGGCATCATTACACAAAGGACTGCAACAATCAGAAAAACCATCATGACAGAGTCTGTGGAGTAGATAGATAGAGTGCATAGCGTCTACGGAGTTCGAAGAAAACATATCGATATTTCATCCTTTTTTTTTTCTTTTTAGACGATATTTGTCTCGTCAGGAGCTGAAAACTCCACGACAAATATCGTCTTGCTCTGGTGGTCGAAAAATACTCAATCAGACTTATTGCGCCTGAGGGTGGGCAACAGATAGTTTCAATGAATTTGGTACTGCTCGTTCCTCACAACGGATTCAAATTCACCCGAAACTTAGGGCAACACCGGTGTCTCGTTACTACCATAGGAGTACCGTAGGTGCCTCGCGGCAGGCCCTGCCCTTGTGTCAGGTACCTCTTTAACTAGGACGCTACTGCGGTAAATGATGAATTCCTCAGTTATTATCATTATTTTTTCTACCGAAGTATGCGCTAGTCAGGCCCTATCCTCCGAAGCCTTGATACATTCGGGAGGGCACGCTAGAATTATCAACCAACGACCATTCCCCACACCGTGGGGTAAGTGATCATTGGGTCCGAGAATCATGTACCCTGAGCAAGCGCAGTGAGCCATGAATGACAGCCTGCTGCATCTGTCCAGCTAAGATTTCTGCCTTAGTGCGGCAGGCCGGTATGAATTTAAGAGTAGACAGGGCATCATTCCACGAAGGACTCCAAAAATCAGAACAACCGTCTTGACAGAGTGATCTGGATAGAGTCTGCGGAGTTCGAAGAGAAAATCTCGATATTTAATCCGTTTATCCTCCTCTTTTCTAACGATATTCGTTTCCCCAGGAGCTGAAAATTCCACGACAAATATCGTTTTGGTTTGGTTGTCGAGAAGGACTACATTAGGCTTATTAGCTAGTATCAGCCTGAGGGTGAAGAACGAATAGTTCCAATAAATTCGGTACTTCTCGTTCCCACAACGGATTCAATATCCCCCGGAGCGTAGGGCAACACCGGTTGCCCTACGCTCTGTAAGAGTACCGTAGATGGTAATGTAGCACTCTTAGGGCCGCGTTATGTCGATGGCTATAGGCCGAGACCGCATATGCTGGACATGCTAATAGCAAGTGCATTAGGGTATCGGGCGCTTCGAGGCAGGCCCCGAACCTGCACCATCATTATTATTATTATCATTAGTATTATTGGGACACATTCTCTTTCCCAATTCGTTGGGGAAAAATAATGGCGAAGAAATTATTTCTCAATATTCACTTCCCATTCAAGTGTTCTAGAGAATAATTACTATGAGTTGTTCAAACGAAATCGATCTGATAAAATAACAGTTATCATTAATATTGAGAATAAATAATATGTATTCATTATTAGACTTCAAGAGAGAGATTAATTATTTTGAAGTTTTTGTGTTTGTATATTGTGTTGTCATAGAAAATTTCTATTTACAGTATCTACCTATCAGCCTATACTCGGGATGAATACGAACATTGAAGCAATGAAAGGGGTATTTCTAAAGATGTGCAATTTATTTGCAGTTGCTCCCTGGTACAATTTTCAGACGGAAGTGTTCATAAGACCAATCGTTTATAAAAATTACAGTTTCGGAATGATGTCATTTTTATTTTTAACTCTTATCATTTATGAAATAATTGTTTTTTTCCTTAGCTCATTTTCCATATTGTATTTAATAGTGATTGGTTTGGAAGTATTTTATGATTTTCTTTTGGCTGCGATTCTTGTTTACTATTCCACGACAAAGATAGAAGATTGGAAGTGTTTATCAGTCACGAGGCGATATTTGAATATTTCCCTACAATATTATGGAGACAGCCCTTCGAATTGGGTTTTCTTGATATTTTATATCTTATCGTTTGTTTTCGTACTATATCAGTTCACCGAGGTGTTCCTCGACATCAGATACTTTCCTATCCTTCTGATTTTGATACCACGAATAATGTTCAATCACGAGTACA